CGCCGCTCGGCGGACGCACGCCGATCGCGGTAAAAAGACGCGCCCCTTTTAAATTCAAACCGTTACACTGTCCTTTTGAAAGTAAAACTATCGCGAGTTGCTCGCGAGTGGACACTGCGTCTGAGAGTGACTGTCTGAGTCACCAAGAAACAGAATTAATTCTTCAAAAATTATCAATTTCATTTCACCCCCCCGTAGCTAAACCTTCTCTCCCAATTCACCAACTAAATTAACAGATACAAGTTTCAATATCGCAACGCTCTTTAAACGGCCACAGGATTGAACTTCGTTATCCACTCGCCTCGACAAACATTCTCGCGCATCCTTTCGAATAATCCACCAGCAGATTGCGTTTTCCCCGGCCAAGTTTGCCTTCCCGGCAGAAAAACGGTAAGGAAAGGTAAAAGAAAAGAAAATAGAGAAAAGTGCTTAATGACTGGATAAAGAGCGGGATTAACAAGGAAACCAGGGTGGAACAACGAGCCAACAAGGCATCAATGTAAAATAAGCAGTTAATCGGAGGAAAGTGGAAAATTCGAAAAAAGGAAAGTCAGCTTGTAAAGCAAGTCAGTGGCAAATAGACTTAGATAAAGAGCGACAAAAATGGTTTAATTAGACGGCAATCTGTTCAGTTGTAATCACGTGTTCCCAGCTGGGCCACAAATCCTGTCCCTCTTCCCTTCCTTTTCGTTGCGTCTCGTTCCACCGTCCATCTCTTCACGGGGGTCGAACCGTTGCGAATAAAACAGAGACGTACGCGATTGCTACGTCGTTGGAAATGAGGAGAATAAAGAAGGGGAGAGCACGAAATAGAAAAAACGATAGAAGCTACTCCGTAACAAACCGTGAGGGAGAGAGAAGGAACAAAAAGGATCGTGACCAGAATGGACGGAAAAAAGGGACGTAAGAGGCGGGTAAATGGGTAGGAAAAAGGAGAAAAGTAAAGACAAAAAAGAGAAAAGAAACGAGAACGGGTTGAAGCCAATGGAAGCGAGCGGCCGTATCGGAACAATACGAAACGGGACGCTGTTTATGCCTGTTGATATTATCGTGGAGTAGCGCTCGAAGGAGGAGAAAAAAGACGAACGAGAATGGAAAGAAAAGGAATGATGTAGAGGTACATATGAAAAGAGGAGAACCACGGAATAACTAGATTATAGAAAGAATGAAGAAAGAAGAGAGGAACAATAACGTGGAAGAAGGACAGAGATGGTATATAAAGTCCGGAAGGAATTAAATGCCCTCCGGCGTGTCCCTGTCCATTTCCTTTTTTCGGATCCATGGAAAAGAGCGTGATTTAAAGGGTAGATTTTCCGGTTCGAATCGCCTGTGTACGGGTCCGCGGGGACCTCGTGCTCGCGAATTAAAGTCGAAATTGCCGTGGCACACGTATTACGTAGACACACAGAAAGAGAGAAGGAGAGTGAGAGAGAGAAGAAGAGAAGAAGAGATGGCCCGTTTTACTTTTCCGCTCGAACGGTGTCGCACGAGCCCCGAGCTTGAACAGAGGCGGCTTGCTGATCGAAGAAAATCGGTCTCCGAGTCTCTGGGCCGACGTGAGATCTTGATCGCCACACGCGAGGCCACTCTCGGCTGGCTTATTTATTTCTCTCGTAAAACCAGCGTCGTGACGCCGCTTCCGTTTTCGCCGTGCACGAGCCTCACGGCCGATAAAACAGCGGCCGGTCGACATGAAAAATTGGAAGAATGTAACGGCGCATTGTAAAGTCGCTTTATCGAGCTACACTGCGTTTCGTCTTTTTCCGACCGACCATCTTTTTTCTTCCTCCTCTTCCTTCTTCTTCCTTATTTTTCCTTTTGCTCGTTTAACTTTCTTCTTCAAGGCTACATAAAGTTTCTCTGTCGGTGGAACGACGATTAGCCTTTTCCTCCACGTCGCGATAAAGCGTTACGGTTTTTTAAGTGACAGAAAGGGTAAAGAAGGGCATTCCGAGGGCCCGCAGCGCGCCCTTTACGACCTATAAAACGATTTCCCGCTGGAGAAAAGGATTCGTCCGCGTCACGGAAGGATCGCTTTCAGCCCGCTGATTCTACCGATTATACCGTTTCCTTATTCGATTATGTGCCTCTCGGCTGTTAATGGCTTTCGAATGTGCTCTGGATTTTTCTGTGTCTGTCTGAGTGCTTTGTCCGCGTCGATATTCAAATTATCCCTGTCCCAATTGAAATATATATCGCAGATAGGGGGAAGAGGCGAAAAAAAAAAAAGAAGGCCGAACGTTATTATCATTTTAAAGCGTACTTTCGTATTCTGTTTTTTTCTTTTCTCTTCTTTTTGTCTTTTTAATTACCATAAATAATCGTCGAGTTGAAAGCTTGGTGATTTGCATCGTTCAGCCTGGCCAGATCGATTTATTTCGCTGTTTATACGAGGCAGAATAAAGATACAGCGTAGGTTAGAGGCTGTTTCTCCATTAAAGCAAATCGTTTGGCATAGTTACAGCAGCGGGAGAGGGTCAGGAATATTTAGAGGTACTAATAGGTGTTCTGACTGCCATTATCCTACTTCTTCTACTGGTGTTCGTCATTATTCTACTTCTGAATCGACGGCAAAAACTTCAGAGCTCGCCGACCGTACTGAAAAATCCATTTGGATTCGCCATAAACATGAAGGTAAGAGCCCAGGCTCATAAATATGCCAAAACTTTTCTGGGGCGATAAGATGGATTTTAATTTGTCATTAAAAGTCTTTGCAAACTTCGTCATCCTTTAAGTTCACACGAATCAACTTCAACGTATTTTACAAAACCAGCACAAAGAACAATTTATTTAATAACATTTTCTTTTCTTTTCTTTGCTGCAAGTAGAATTTAATATATATATCGAAGAATTTCGTTCTGCGTGTATTCTCGATGGAAAAAAACGAAACACAAACGATTCCAACGATTTTCAGGGACTCCTCCTAAATTTAACTCCCGGTGGAATGCTGGCAGAGACTGCCAATCACGTATCGCCGGACATGCCGGAAGACGGAAGCATGCACGAGTCTTTGACAATGGAACAATTCAATTCACCCCTTGTCAGCCCGCAGTATAAATCTACATACGCGATAGTCGCCACTTCCGGTGAGTTTTTTCAACTCGAAATCCTCTCCGCTCCTTACAAGTGTTCGAAAAGAAAATCATCGAAAGAGTTGCCGTATCTTCTAATTACACCGAGTTACATCGCGAAGTTGCATAATATCAGGAAAAATATAAAGTAAAAATAAGATATTGTTGATAAAAGCTGGACGTATTACGATAAGCGAAATTATTGGTGTAAAACAAACGTGACCGGTTTTTATTCCAAACATTCAGAAAATTCTTTCTTAACGTTGATAACGGTCTGACCTCGTTCCCTGCGATCACTTCGATTGAGTATGCAATATAACTCTGATAATTATACTTTTCTACCTGTATTTTTCTACCATTCGTACCGTAAAATTTTCGCATTTAAGAGTATTTGAAAAAATCACGAATAAACTATGCTGTCGTAAACTTTGCTTTTCTTTTGGTTTCTCGAAAATACAGAATTTTTTAAAAGAAAGGTATGTGTTAGGAGAGGTAGATCTTTTTTTTTTTAGAAGTTTTTTATTTTTCCCGATATTTTACGTGGAAAATCCGACGAGAAGATAATAAAAATCAATTTCTTTTGAAGAATCCCCGAAAGACCTGAAGGATGTGAACGTCTCAGAGGAGAACGTTCGACTCGATACGAGACCAGAATCGACCATAGGGCCACCGAGTTGCTCCTCGTCGCCGACCAACTCTCCTGCCCGGCATTCTCAACACTACAGGACTCTTCAAAGTTACACCAGTCCAACTGCGAAACTCAATATCGCGGCCACGTCTAATCACCAGCGGGACGTCGATCAGATTCACTCGAAACGCTGGCACACAGCACCTAAAGAGAAACACAAGGTACATATAGGTCCGCGAGAGATTCTCTACCCAATCTCTGTCTATCTGGTGAAATTGATTAATTGATTTTTAGCTTGGTCAAATATAGATAAAATCAATACCAAAGCTTCGCTACCTTTAATACGAATGATATGACACATAAGAGCCAATATGACCCACTTTTTAGATGTATTAAACTTCCAAAACTGGATAGCCACTATTTGCAATTCATCTCGCACGAAAGTTCATTTAGAATATTATGTTTTTTAAATTAACGTCGTCAATTTTCTTTCGTCTTCGTAAAATCAAAGTATGTGTCACTTTTCATTCGTTTAAGCTCAAACTAGTCCACCCCAACTTTCCACTCGAAGACTGTGCAATAAATAAAAACGCTCGAAAATACTCTCGCAAGAGTTGCAACAATGTTGACGTCCGTTGTGTTGCATCCACAGATACCCGCACCTGTCGTCAGCTGGAACATCGCACCCAGCATGAACAAACCTTACAAGTGCAAGGAGATAGAGCCCACAAATATACCGCGACAGTGCCTACGTACCACGGAGAAACTTGGCTCGAGGAACATCGGCGAGGTACTGCGATAAGAGTGATTGGGAAACGATGCTAAACGTGCACGTGCTCAAAGAACGTTATCTCGTGCACGCGTTTCGTTTCGCGCGTAACTAATTGGAAAACACGGACGATGACGTATGGTGATTCTCGTTGTCTTTTTTTTTTCGAGTTGCGTTAACCTTCGACACCGCTGGTTACGACTATTTACGTAATGACAGCGTCGATAACTACACTGCATAATAAATGAGGATTTTTGAAACGAAACTTTGCCAGTGTATTCTACAGTTAAAAATGAGACGATTATGTCGTATGAATGTAGGTTCGCAGATGCTTCGTTAAAAAGTTACGATAGAAATAAAAAGTGTGGGGCGAACACCTTTGTTGACGTAATATCGAATTAATTGTGAGTTAAATGTGATTACAACTTTGTGCAATTTTGGCAGAGCAATGTTCATCGGATAAACGTGATTTAGTGATTTATATGAACAGAAAATATAAATATCTGTTGTCTATCCTTGCCTCGAGAGAATTTCTCAAAAATGAGATTGTTTTCGCACGTAACTTTCATCTGCTGTATCTTTGCAACGAAACGTTATTAGACCACCTTGTATATGACATTTTCTTCTCAATTTTTCGCGACAATAACGCTGGCAAAATTTGAACGCGATAACTTCTGAAAAAAGAAATTGAATATTTAACGTCGATTAGTAATGTTTGACTTCGTCTTCGTGATACAATCGCAAACGATCAATAAGCTGAACGGTACGAGCGGGCATGTAACATGGTTTCTATTACAACTCGACAATACACCGTAATACATTCGCCTACAAACTACAGGGAAACTTTGCTTGGCGGAACATCGAAGAGGAACGACAACGAAGCGCTAGAGATAATGCACTTACTGTGTACATTATGCGCGGTACAAGATGTGTACACGTACGCAGATTTCCGTATCGATATACTTCCGGGATTCATTGGTTTGCACGTACATTAACGACGATAGCAAGCCAAAGACTCTGAGGAGTGTTGTCGTGCACCCCTCTTCGGCGATTAATGCGCAAACTGCGCGGCTAAGTACACGACTTACGTTGTAACGGGGAACGTTAACCAAATTTAAGCCGATTAATTATCGAATTTGCATACTTCGGTAGGTCTTTGATATGTAGATGAGGATGAAATTGAAATTTAAATGATACCGCGAACCCGAAATGCCGTGCAAGATTTATCGGTCCTTTATATTTCCATGAAAAATTAGAAGCAAGCTCCACGCGACATTCTTTTCCCTGTCTATATTCTACCAAAATTAACCCTTTGCCTTGTAACAACGAATCACACTCGTAACACTGATTATAGTCAAGGTATGACAAGACGAGAATTATATTTGCAATAAATTTGTACTTTAACACTCTCTTTACCTTCAATTTAAGTCTGACGATCCTTCGATAAAATTTGCCAATATTAATTAGAAAAAAAGATTATCTTTTACAAAATTAGCAAAATTGTCCATTAATCTTGCCCATTTTTTCCACCGAAACTCGTTAACACTAGCAACTCCTTCATTCAACACTGTACCAAGAAATCTAAATTTTCAAAATTCAAAAATCTTCCAAAAATTTGCTACAGCACTGTGTCAAAGAAAAACTAGATCACTCGTAGAAACCGAACGTTGCCCCAAAAGAAAAATTCCCACTCGAACATCCACCGTAGCGCGAGACCAGAATTCATCGCGAACGACTTGCTAGGAAGAACTCGACCCGATCGATATAGCAAACTTTTACCGCGATAAATCCTCTTTTGTTGTTTCACAGGCGATAGTGTGCGAGGCGGTCGGATTAGAGGACGTGGTGGCAGATGCCTCAAGATTGGTTGTCGCTCGAGTACCCGTTTCCACCAGCGACATCCGGTCAGGCAGCACAGCCGATCAAATGAGAGAAGTCCGATTTCTGTCGAGCCTGTCCGATCCGAACGTGGCTAGGATCCTGGGAGTGTGCACCGTGGAACCAGTCCCATGGACGATCATCGAGTACACGGAACTCGGTGATCTCGCCCATTATCTTCAGTACAGTGTGCCACTTACGGGAACGCTTAGGCCAAGCTGCAATTTGAAAGCCCTTAGGTGAGATCCCGCTATTCACCGCTGGGGATCCTAAAACGATATACAGATACACAAGCGAGACCACACTGGTTAAATCCGTGGAGCATGCAGACCAGGTCTTACGAGCGTTGCGAAATGAAATCTCGATGGTACCGATCACTGTAATAATTCCTCGATGAATATATTCACTTGTCGCTACGTCTCTTTTATACACCGGTACGATTCCGGCTCGGTTCGGTTGTAACGCACGCGGTTCATCTTAATGGCACTTCCGCGTTATACAGCTTCCGATTATATACGATTACGGGATTACGTGGATTACCCTTGTTATCGTTGTTGTGTGCGAAATGTTGCGCAGAGTCTCGCGTGGATAATTAACACGTTCCGTGTCGCGGAATTGTGGAACGGGGATAAAGCGTGAAATGTTGAATTGGAGAAAAAGGAAGTGCGGAACGAAGGTAAAGCGTGAAATATTGAATTGGAGAAAAATATCTGTAGCGTTGAATTTTTCAAAATTTCATCTCCTTTCGTGTTCGATATCCTTTTTCGTTCAACGAAAGTTTCACTTGTGAAAATTGTCGTTACCACCTTTTTGGTACGCGTGACACGGAACGTGTTAATTCCATAAATTCGTGCCAAGAGTGGAAAATATTTCGATAAGAAAGTAAAGAAGTTTCATAACTCTGACGATTCTACCGAAAAAGTGAGATAAAATTCTGGACCAAATTTCGTTAGACGACAACATTCAGGCCTGAACTTACGGGACGGCATATCATTCCTGCAAACGCGGGGAAAAAGTAAATATTCTCGCGCAGAATTATGCTTGATTAATTATCCAGCAAATGGATAAGAAGATAAACGAGCGAAACTCGAGTCTCCGGGAATGTTTTGAAGGGGACGCGATCACAGATAGAGAGGATTCGTTTATACGTATAAATAAAGTTGTTCCAGTGGACGGACAACGAACGACTCCATCAGTTAACGTCCACGGCTTTGAAAGTGGAGTTTCGCGTTTCTTGCCCACAGTCAAAGCTGCTTGCTGTACATGGGGACTCAGATAGCATCGGGCATGAGGTTCCTCGAGTCGAAGAATCTGGTGCACAAGGACCTGGCAGCCAGAAACTGTCTAGTGGGCCGCTCTTACACCGTGAAAGTGACCGACATAGCGATGTGCAGTGACCTTTACAAGAAGGATTACAATGACATACGAGGCAGACCGCCGGCGCCAATCAGATGGCTGCCGTGGGAAAGCATTCTGCTGGTAGGCCTGAATGATTTTGTGTATCTGCTAGTTTAACGAGCACGTTCCAGATCGATCCTTAGATGGAGAGCTGTACGAATGAACTTGCGTTTCGATTCTAGGACAGGTACACTTGCTCGAGTAGCGTCTGGTCGTTCGCCGTCACTCTGTGGGAAGTGATGAGCCTGGCTAGGGAGAAACCTTTTCAACATCTCACCAACGATCAAGTGATACAGAACGCTGAGCACATGTACTACGGGGCAGAGTTACAGGTAATTTTTCGTGCAGTGTTGTTAAGTTTTTGGACATTTGGTGAACGTGAAGCATAATCGAACTTATGGAACTCTGTTGAGATCTATTGAAATCTGCTGAATTCTATTAAAATCTACTCAAATCTATTGAAATCTGGTGAATTCGATTAAAATCTGCTGTACTCTACTGGTATCTATTGAAATCTTTTGAAATTTAAGGAAATCTGCTAAAATCTACTGAAATCTATTGAAATGAAATGATAAAAAAAAAAAAAGAATTATTCTAAAATTAATCTAAAAATTATCACAACTACATTTTCACTAATACGTGACGCTAACTTTGACGAGGAAATGTCACTTAAATCACACAATACTCTCTACACGAACAAACTGAGCGTCCTGATACTTAAGCAAAAAGAAGTACTCAATTTTGAAATTTTTCTCTCTACTATCCCTTTACATTAACGAATTTACCACGTTCGTTTTAGGTATACCTCCCGAAGCCCACGATGTGTCCCGAGGAAGTCTACAGGATGATGTGCTCCTGCTGGCGCAGGGACGAGACCTCGAGACCGACGTTCAAAGACATTTACACGTTCCTGAAAAACCTGATCGCAGACTATCGACCCGGTGCATAAGAAAGAACGATCCCAGTTAACTGTGATACAAAAACGGACGAACGAATGACGGAAAAACTGCGTCGGACGAAGTCGGGTCCGTCGTCGAGTCGACACACTCGCCGGAAGTGTACAATCGTTAGTTTCTAGTGCATGCCGTGGGGACGAGCCGCGTCGTATCTCGAGTTTAATTCGATCGTAGAGAGAGGATCGAAGGGAGAAATTTCGCCGTTCTGCACGTTCTCTCTACGAAAAAAACAAAAAAAAAAAAACAAAAACCGAGGAAAGCGAAGCCTTGAAACTTCTTCTCTTCTCGATCTCTCGATCTCTGACTTGTGTCGTTCAGGCAAAAGGAAAAGGAAAAAGAAAAGAAGATTGATCTGGCGAAGATTTTGCCTGGTCACTCGACGAAGACGTCGCCTCGAATATTTTCTAGTCAGCTCGGTCCTTCAATTCCTACGAAAGTGCTATGTTATATCGTCTACAGTATTCTGGACACTAAACGATTCGCGTGTACCACGATGCTGAAGCACCGATAAGTCTATCCACTTGTACATACGAGACTAGTTACTGACGCTAGGTAAACGCTGGGAATTTTCGCGGCAGCGGGTGCTTTTCAATGAAACTTCGATCGTGTCTCTTCGAATAAATACCATCTTACCGTTACTACAAACTAACCGACTAAATAAATCAATCTCAACGATTCCTATAATTTCTAAACACGTACCTTGCGATAAAATTGTAACTCGTTCTAAAAATAATTTCGCACATCGACGGTTTTCTATCTGTGTCAATCGCCGTGACGAAAAAAGAATCATCTTCGAAAGGACACGCCGATCTCATCAACTGCCCGGAAACTCTCGACTTACTTGTACATTCGAAAGCCCGTCGTACGTAGCAAAGTACTTATATCGTTCCATTGTATTCCTTTCCGTTCGAAAGAGAGACCTCACACACATCTTTAGCGGGCGTAGCATTCGAGAAAAAAAACCTGACCTAAGTCTGTTCTTCGCGAGAACGTAAAACGCATAATCATCACACGCTCCTTCCTTTGATTTATCATTAAAGGCAGAGAGGACGAATCCACCACACACACACACACACACACACGTGGAGAGAGTCATAGCAAACAGCATAAAAAAACAAACGATCATGCTGTCGCACACCGGCTTCGAGATGGAATCGATCCTTCAAATTCTAGACTCTCCTGTAAACAAACTCGCCTCTAACGTGCTCGACGTTCCGCGAGTCGATCGGAATCGCGAATCCAGAACGTTTGAACGCGACCAAAAGATGCAGTCAATATGTCGACGATGATCCATAGACGGTGGGGAAGTTTAACGACGGTGTGAGAAGAGGAAGAGGATGAAACACACGGGATAAAGAGAAATATTATCGTTTCGAGAGAGTTGACAAGTCGCGAGGAAAATAAGCGTATGTCGACGATGATCCATAGACGGTGGGGAAGTTTAACGACGGTGTGAGAAGAGGAAGAGGATAAAACACACGGGATAAAGAGAAATATTATCGTTTCGAGAGAGTTGACAAGTCGCGAGGAAAATAAGCATATCACACAGTTCGCTGTTGGTAAAGTGCCAAACGGAGTGAAGCGTTCAAACGTTCCCCTCTGCACGCACCTTTCTGTAATTCTTAAGATGGATTCAAGTATACGTTGAAATGATTAACAATAAAGTACTGAGTGTTCCTTTCTGATTCTCGCTGTTCCTTATTTTTGTCTTTCTTTTCTGGTGTTAATGAGATAGCTGATAAGCGACCAGGTTTGAATTATGCTGGAGATATTGAAAGGAGGATATCGTTGTTTGAATAATGTTTGAAAAAAAGGAGAAACAGGTTGTTTGATGGACAATTAAACTGTCACACGATTGATACCTCCTGTGGATATACGGTTACTGTCGAAAATATTAGGTCGGTGTATAAGTTTGCACTTATGGTGATTTATTTTTTGGGTTGATGGTTATTCGTCACTTCTTGTACTTTATACTGTAATGCTAATTAGTCTCAATTATGTCCAATTTATGTGTTGCACAAATTAATTTTTTGAATAATGTTAAGGTTACTTATATTTTAAATATTATGAATATTTTTGGGAGTAACTGTGCATACCTATGAACATCGAGACAATTGTTGAGAATAATAGTAACACGAGAGTATTCCATATGTGACATAATAGTCGATAAAAAAGATTGAGAAGAAATCGATCATTTCCCAGTCAATTCTTAAGAGTGAACGTTTACCAAGTTTACAGAGATATTAAGTCCTTTTTTAACGTGACAATTTAAAGTGATTCACAATTTTCTAAGACAGTTATCTCCAGAGTAAGCAAGTGGAATACTGTGAAAATTAAAATAAAAAAGAAGGTTACTTAAACAAGGTAACAAGCATGCAATCAAAGAAAATTCCCCTATTATCTCTCAATTAAACTCAAGAACACTTCCACGACCAGCATAAACAGTTATCCCCGTCGATCTCAACTAGTAAACTCATTATTTCCTCCGCACTTTCCTCAGAAACGTTTTTTCCTTGAAGTCAAAGGACAAGGAGTCGTTGAAATTAGCTCACCAAACACGCTGGCGTGTCGCGGAATATCCGTTACTGGAAAGTTCCTCGCCACCTCACCAGCAAAATGGAATAATATCGCGAAACAACAACCTCAACGAAGATAAAGATACATGTCATTAAATCTGGCAGTTTATCTTAGAGAAAATATTTGTTTCCCGTGGGTAAGTGGATAAGATAACCGTTGTGCAAATCGTTTCAGTGCAATTTTCACAGAACAACACACAGAAAAAGAAGCAAGCATTGTCAAGTGTTCGATGAGTGCTGTTTCGATAAACGGAAGTGTATACTTCCATGAAAGATCACTTAAGACGTCCCAAGTCGAGTCAACGAATGGTCCAAGTCACTTAAAGCTCGCGTATCTCGACGTGGTAACGTCCACTTTTCGATAGCAAAGTGGTGTCTTCGTAGCGACCGCACCGAAAAAAGCTACCGTATTTTCCATATCTAAAAAGGATAACGGAACAATCGTTCCTTGACCAGGTATGACCGACTCCTCGAGGTGGTTCCATTAGACGAGGGCAGGTGGGGCGAAGGGAAGAGGCAACTCTCATAAATCACCGGCAAACCTTTTATCGGCACAATTCGGGTAACGTTGCGCCGCGTCGAGACGTGGCTCGTTAATCTTTCCCCGGCGAAGTGCATGGATCCGCCGGCTCGATCATAGGCGACGCGCTCGGAAAATTGATGGCGATTTGATGGCGGGAAAAAAACAGATAGGAGACACGTTCGTCTCGATCTGGCTTCAACGCTTTCGATCATTCCGACGAAAATTTCGCTGCAATGAAATTGTCTAACGACACGTTGCGATACTATACACCAAAATAAGAAAAAGTAACGTAAAGGAAATGAAATGATTTAGGTAGAATCGTGAGATTGGAAGAATCGCTAGGAACATTGCAATTTGTCGTTTTAAATATCTGCAATTGTTATTGTAGACTGAAAACAGATAAAAGCAAAAACTTGTTGATTTAGCTTTCAACGCTTTGGATCGTTTCAACGAAAATTTCACTGTGATAAAATTGCCAAGAAAACACATTGCTATGCTATATATCAAAGTTTCGAAAAAGATATAGAATCTGAAGGAAATAAGATAAGAAAAATGATTTACAATCCCCGGGTACCAAGAATCGCTGAGAGGATCCGCGATTTGTCGTCCCGGTGAAGATAATGAAATGCACGGCGCGCGCGCGCTAGTGTGTGCGTGCCGCGTAACGATGGTCGCTTGCGTTTATATAATGCCAGAGAGCCGGGAAAGTGAGACCATTGAAACGTCGACTGTCAAAGAGACACGCGTACCTCAACGACGCATCAACGACAACATGAAGAAGCACTGCCTGTTTGTTCTTCTCGTCGCCCTCGTCGCAACCCTTCTACACACCGCTGGTAAGAAACGGGAGATCTAACGACGATCTTCGATCCATTCGGTTGCTAATGCAGTAACATGTGGTATTTGAAATTTGAGTATTTGGGAAATGTCGTGTTTGAAATTTGAGTGTCTGGAAAATGTGAGATTTCGATATTTGAATGTTTTAAAAAATTTATAGAAAATTTTCATACAATAGTAATGCATGTGCATCATTTTCATTCACCGTTTAACCCTTTCGTGACGCACTAATTTTCTTTTAGAGTTCATTATTTATCTGAAGCCCATCGCGTCTGTAACTGAACATTTGTAACGAATTAATACTTCTTCGAGTGCCCAAATAAGGCATGTCTGTCCCACTAGTCAACGAAAGGGTAAAACGAAATAGCATCGAAATACTTCTAAATTCGTATACTTCACATATCGCTTCTTAATTCCTATATCAGTAAATACATTCATTTAGAAAAAAGTAAGAACGACCTTCGAGTCTCAGAGACGTCTCCACTTTATAGGTAAATTTCGTCCGATTCATCGCGCATTCTCTCACCAGATGATACCATAAAAAATCAAGGTGATTCACTTTTCAAGGTAGACGTATTTTCGCCGGATCAAAACATTGAAATTTTGAACAGAAAGAAAAAGCAATACGAACGATAACAATCTCGCGATCCTGAAAAATAAAAAAATCATATTCCACCAAACTTTCATTTTTTTTTTTTTTCAAACACTTTATTCTCTCGTATATCAGAAACGCGATCTTTGTCGTTCGACGTTTAACTTCGATTACGGACTTTACGACGAGGCGGCATGCAAAAATCGCAAATAGCCGCATGCTTCCCTTTGATCGTTCCAAGAACGAATGGCCTT